ACAAATGTTAATTCTGGAAAGAAATACAGTATTAAAATCATGTATGGTTCATCACATATGCATGATCATGCAAATAAAACACTGAGTAGATTATAAAAATGTCATAAAAAGATTTCCAAAGAATTGTTTAATTGACTCTAACAGTCAAACCATACAGTTTAATAATTCTGTGACAATAATGTTAAAAACCATTTACTTTCTCTACATTTTGGTGCACAATCATACTATGAACGCAAACAATAAAATGAGTCATTCTGTATCTCCATTATCATCAAATAACGATTTGTTAACAAAACAATATTTTTTCTTTATAGTTCTCTGATCTTTGTTTTAAAAAGGCTTTAAAAAAGGAACAGTCACACTAGAATGCTTCAGACTTTCTTCTCAGTGTTTTCATTACAGAACCATAATGATCAGAGAATAATTCTGAAAGAAAAAAAAGTTAAAATAAAAATGTGTTCTCAACCAATGTTACATAGCAATTAAACTCTAATCACAGAAATAATCTGGCTCAGTAGTTTATCTAGGTTTCAGTTTAAACAGGACAAATTTCAAATAACTCGAGGAAAGGGATAAAAATATACTGAGGATTAGAGCCATGCATTTCAATATGGAAAGGAGACCAGATATAGATAACAATCTCTTTACATTCCTAATGGAGAAATCACAAGAAATAAGACTTCTATATTGTTCATATTATGAATATGGGAAAGCTTACATGATGCGAAATATCTCATGCAAACATTTTACATGGCATACTTTTATGCACTCATACCCTTACACTAAAGGCAGTTAATTGCTGCTCTTTTTTGTAAGTAGATTATTTCTGGAAAATCCTTGCTTGAGGAACATAATTTTAATACTAAATATCTTTTTAAACTTTAATTTGAGTAAAAAGAATGGGAGAGATGTCTAAAAAAATCTTTCAGATGTTAAATAATGGAATCAGGATACAAATGAAATACATCAGGGACAATGGCAGTTAACATGACATTTAAAAAAAGATGAATTCAATTACAGACGACTCATCTGGGGGCATTATTACACACAATGGGAAAGGTTACTCGGGAGCTAGACTGGTCATGTATGTCCATAGAAATCTATTTTAAGGTAAAAATTATGTCAGTATCAGCATTGATCATACTACCTATCACAACTCCAGTTCAATAGCTTTTTGAAGAATTATGTTCCCCTTACTTAGAAACATATTCTTGTACATTTGCAACCTTAAATACAAGGACTATTTTAAAACCACTCTGGTTTATAAACAAAAAAATTGTAGGACAATTTTTAAAATTGTGAACTTTATCCTAAGAGTTCCTTTTGAACGTAATCCTACTTTATAGCTATATCACTGCATTTGTGGCATCCTGGGGTTGAACTAGCACGGTTGCTTCCTGGAAATCCACCAGTTTCCTCTGATGTGTCTGAGTGACAGATTATGCCTTTTGGCTGATTGATTATAACAATTATACAGCAACCTTGCTTTTCTTGTCACAGTAGAAAATATATTTAATTTTTTTCATTTTTGTATTTTGTAACTACCACTTGAGAATTGTAGAGGATTTTATTTAATGCAGACTATCAGAGAAGGTTCACATATGTGATTTGACTGACACTTAATGTTTGTTTGAAACAGTACTGTCTGTACACAAATATTTTCTAAAGCATGGGAAAAGCAAATACTGTAGACTGAAGATTCTTTTAAGAAAAGATAAAGTTTGAGAGGCATTTACTCCCTAAGGGACTGAAAATCTATTTCTGAAGTATTCCTGAGGATTTTTTTTTTTTAGATTCTAACAATTGAGGCTTTTAATAGTAAAATGACTATATTCTGGACAACTTTAAAGATATGAAATATAGCTGCAAGAAAAAATACCAACAACCCTGTTTTATTTTTTGCCAAATATTTTGGAAAAATTAAGATTGCTATCCTACTTTCAAGGACTAAAATGTTTTATGACTAAACAGAATAATTTATTTTTAAATCTGAAATAAAAAGAATTATAGGATTATGAAGTCAAATTATAATATATTAAGATATCTTGTCACTTACTGGACAACCAATACTTAATTAAAAAAAAACAAATCGTTATATTATCAATTTTGATAATTTCCCACGGCTAAGAATCTCTTTCCTACAGTTAATATAAATCTTTCACATTGAAGGCTTTTTCTTATTCTAGTCTTAATAGTAGTATCCATAGTTGATATCTATCATTGGTTAACATTTTCTTGAAGATCAATAGTATACCTCTTCCCCCTTAGGCTAAAGTATAATCTTTCTGAATAGGTCTCTTCTTAATTATTTAATAACTTTGGTTTCTCAAAGTTATCCAAATCCCGCTCATTGGAAGAGAACTGGATGAAAGGGATCTGATGAATCATGAGCTGATTAGAAAGATTAACCTGAGGGTCTTGGCTGCCCCCGTGCACTCAGGCCAAAGACAATGCATTGCTCTTTTATCTTTTAACAAGAAAAACCCTCAGTAGGAAAGCATTTCTGCATGCTATCCTTTTCAGTATGGTAATTGTGCTTACTTTTAAAAAAATTACCTGATTACTCTGCTAACCAAGCTTGCTAGTGACCTTTAGTCTTTTCACTCACCATGTTTGAAATAATTATTGACTGTGTTTTGTATTTCTGTAGTCTTTTTCCCTCACCTCTCTCTTCAACCGGTCTTACTGAAGTTTGTTCTTTTTCATTTTCACTAGTTCTTCAATTTTTCAATTTCATTTTGAATCCTCATGTTCTTTACAGGTACTGATTTTTTTAATCAGTGTTACACATATTTATTTATTTTAAGTGCCTATAAATAAATATTGGTCAGGCTCAGTTTAAACTACGCTAAATGATGCCACAGTTTAAATACATGGAATTCTCTTTTACTGTTTAGGGACTATTGCCTAATTTTGTGCTGAAAATTAGAGATTTATTTCCAAGTTTCTATACCTTCTTGGTAAAGTGTTGCTAAAATGAACATTTTTATAGAATTGATATTTCAAAACAAACACTTACCACTCTGTTAATATAAAGGAACTGAAGTAGAATTAGTATATAGTAGACTTGATAAACTTTATATTGGCAGAAATAAATGTGTTGTCTGTGACCCAGCCTTTCACCGGGTCATAACTAGAGTAAGGGAGCAAAAATGCAATACTGCACTGTCACGTCGGATTACTGCTCTATAGTTACACAGAGACAATACTTACTGCTGAATTCCCTGCACCACCAACAAAACTGATGAGGCGATATAGGAAGATGTTCTGAGGTACTTTTAAAAATGGCATATTTTCCCTCAGGCACAAACAGTTTTTTATTAAAAGTCATCTTTGCAGCTATATCACTTCTCAGGTCCAAACACATGATACTTGGAAAAGAAATAAAAAAAAGAAAAAGCATGCGTAGGGGGTAGCATCCTTTAATTGAACTCATATAATCCACACCGTTTCGCTAATACTGGTACAGGGCAGATACACCACCAATTAAAATGAAGCGAGTGTTTAGGAGCAGCAAGGAAACACAGGTGGGAAAGGACAGGAGGTTAGGCTGCCATGATCAAGACTTTATGAAAATTTGTTTCTTTTTCTCTACTTTAACCTGGATCCCTATTTGTGGTAAAGATTTCTAACTACTTCAAGTCGCATAATAAATGACACTGTTGAAAATAGCACTCATATAAGAAACTAAAAACCTCTTGGTTGCTTTGGTAATAGTGACCAATACTTAATATGCATGTGACGGATAAAAGCTCCTGCACTATGCTTTATGATTGACCCACTGGCCGCCATCTTTGATGGACCATTCCATTATGTCCCACCCACGTCCACTCAGTAAGCTGAGCGGCTCTTACTAAATGTTCATGGTTAGAGCCCTGCATAGTAAACTATCTTTTGTATTAACAGTGAGGATCGTTTTTGTTTTAAAGAGAAGTTACAGATATTGTTACATGAAAAGGTCAAATCGTTATGATTTTAAATAAGTTAAGGCTACCTGACTAGACAAGGAATCAGGGCTAGGAGCAATTGTGTGGGCAGTTCTTGATAGTTAAGGAGCCCAGGAGTGTTAGACCTTTCAGCTCAATGAGCTGTTTTCCTTGTTTGTCAGATTATGTGCAAAATAAATTTTGCTATGAAAATTGACTGCCTTAAATCAAGTCATAAGAGTTATCCAGAAGGATTTGTAAATAAACTAGGAACAAGTACTATTTCAATATGTATAATATGATTGTAGGCACCTGAGTGTTTGTCAAAAGTAGACAATGAGCTAAAGTTTATCTATTGTTTTTTGGCAAGGAAGATTCGTTATGAAAAAAACTAACAACAACAAAACACACAATTTTAATCAAAATTTGAACACTTTCTGGGTAAATTCATTAACCAAAGGCTAACTTACATCTTTCTATGGATATATTTTCCCATTTGTACTTGATACCTTTTAGCAGGAAAGACTCATAATAGGACCCTGAATTTGGGAGAAGTAAAAAAAAAATTCTGGTCATTAAATAAACACACCATTTTCCCCCTCCTGTTATTTAGCCTTCTTTAACGTATCACACACACATACACACACACAAAGGAGCAGCACCAGTGCATCTACCTGCCTGCAATTCTTTAAAAAAATTAAAGATGCCATCAAAGTTGAAAAAGTCAATGAATTATAACATAGTCTCTTTCTTAGATTTACTCAATAATGTCCAGTGAAGAATTCTAGTTAAAAAAAATCCAACAGTTAATTAGCTACTGATTAGAAAGTAAGTGCATAAACAATATCAGTGTAGCAGCAACATACAGTTATTAACATTCCAATGCACCTCATTTTATTATTTTGTGCAAGAAAAATGACCACTGTCTGGCCAATTCCAGATTTCAAACTATACTAAAACTCATACTTAACGGAGCAAATTATGCTTATTTAAACATAAATGAATTAAGTTCACCTCTCTCAGAAATTATTTTTATAAACATAAATCATGTGGCAAATAAAATACAAAATAAATATCAATGATGAAAATGTTAGAATCAACTTTTATAGTTGAATGTGACATATGAGGAAAGATGATTTTACAATATATGTATTTTACATGGTCTTAGGTCTCTCTACATTATCGAGATAAAGCCAGTCATCTGAGATACATGTGTCCAGTTTTGTTTTGTTTATTATCCAATTGACTGTAGCCATTTCATTGCAGAAGTTTATCTATGACTTAGAGAAACCATAAAATGTTTTATCACGCCAGAGTCTGTGCTTTGTGTTATTCTTCTTAACTTTCTTTCATCTTCCAAAGTGACAGGCATTACTCCCATCGCACATTTAGCAACTGAGAAGAAAACACCGGTTGGATCTTGGGCAGTATCCTGTGTGTGGCTACAAAACGTTCGCCCCAGAGTTTCGTCCGCGGGAGATGGAGACTAGGGGTGAGGAGGCTTGGAGAGACAGTGGAGAGGGGCGCACTGTGAGCTGGAATGTGGCTGCTCGTCAGGGAGAGCTAGGTCAGGACTGAAAATGAGAAACAAGTATGTCAGCAAGAAACGCATTGATAAGGGGCCAAGCCACTTGTAAGGTTAGACAAACATTATTTTCACCGAAACTAAACAAATAAACAAACAAACAAAAAAGAACAGAAATTTTCCATGAAAAACAGTTTAAATTTAAAGCATGCCAAGACAAACCACGGCTTTTCAAAACCACGCACAAAAAAGTAAAATAAAACATGTTTGGGAAATACGTTAACTCCTTGCGACCGCTTTTTTTTTCCCTTTCCTATTTCTGCACACAGTCCCATTCCCCTGTGTCTCTGGGTTAGTTGCAAGGTTTCTTTAGATCAGTTCTTCTCAAATTTTATTGTGTATACCAATCACCTGGGGATCTTGGTAAAATGCAGATTCTGGTTCTATAGGTCTGGGGCTGCACCTGAGAATCTGCATTTCCAGCAAGCTCCTGGGGATGTAGGTGGTGCTGGACAAAGGTTTTAGAGGATTCGAAATCAGTTCTCTGGTAGATGAGATTCAACAGGATAATCAAGTTGCCATTGGAATCCTAATTTGCTGCAAGAGTTCTCTCTATCTGCTTTCGTTTGGCAGTTTAAATAAGACTGAAGGGGTTTAAAGCATTTCCCATTTCTTAAGTCTATAATGCAGACTTCCAAAAGACCTCTGAGAGCTTCTGATTTAAACAAACTCAGAAACACTCAGGCACATCAATGCCATGAGAAATAATCCTGAAGAACAAGGAAGCCAAATTGTTGAATTTCCTAAAGTAAAACTACAAATCACATTTGGGTTCAGGCCTTTTGAAATCTAATGGGGGAAATCCCACTATTGGGATATTTATATTACTGAAAGGGATCGGCATTTTTCTATAACTCTGTTTTCTCCCCTAATATTATGAAATTCAGTACCATAGAATTCATTTCTGACAGGAGTAATGTTTAAGAAAACTATTCAAGGTTTATTATTATTTATTAATTTTATGTAGATTTTTAAGCTAATATTATCATTGAAGTCATTCAGAATTATCATCAAATTTAATCTTTGGTACTGAAATTATCCTTCATGTATATCTCAGAATATCAGAATTTTGATATGACATCAAAATTATGTCAAATACTGATCTGCTCAAGGTCATTCTTACTTTCCAAAATCTTTCAACTGATATGAATTTAGTTTAAAAGGAGATATGCTCTTCTGTATGGTTAGGACAACCAATGATAACACTGATTTTTCTGTATAGTTAGGATAACCAGTGATAAAAATAATTTTTCTGTATAGTTAGGACAGTCAGTGATAAAAACTATTTTTTCTACCTGTTTTAAAAACATGGTAGGTAAACATGTGAGACCTGGAGTTTCAAGACTGAAAGTATTTCATGGCAAGATTCTTTCTCCCGTCTCCAGACAGACTCACATGGTCCTGGAAACACAGCAGGAGACAGACGTTCCCATGGACCCAACAGAGTTTCTTTCTGTTAAATCTGCATGATTCAGAATGAGTTTCTTTTTAGGGGACCAAACATGTTATTCAACATAAAGGCAAGTTACACAAGAGGGATAAATTTCTGATCACCCCATGTAGTTCAATATTTTTCATGATAAAGTGTGTAGTAATAGCTTACAAATGGGTTACAGGTCAACTGGCCCAACCTTGGCATTATGTCATTTATGAAAATTAAAAATTTTTTTCACAATGAAGGTATTACGAAGTACAAGTTGGCAGTTACAAAATAGACGCGAGGATGTAGAATACAGCATAGGGAATACAGCCAAGAATATTGTAACAACTGCGCATGGTGCCAGGTGGACACAAATTACGGGGGCGCAGGCGGAATAGCCTCACACCACTGTGTTGTACACCTGAAACTAAGACAATAATGTCCACTCTAATTGAAAAATGAAAAATTTAAAATAATTTTTCTATTATTTCTGATTGTTTACATAGTGTGAGATTATAAATATTTTGTTTTATAGTGTTACTACTCTAAATTTGCATGAATGTAATCATACTGTATATATGTGGCAGAAGTACATTTTTGGCTTACAAATTAAGAAATTATTTCTTAAATGTAAATATTTGATATGTTTTAATCATTTCAGCTACAGGAAGAATTCACTTTCAGTTCTGATTGCTAAATATCTTTAGGAGCTCACTCATTATTCAACCTTTATCATTTAAGTCTTACGTTATGTAGGTAAAACCATGTTGTGAATGGTAGGCCTAGGAAATATTACAAAGATACAGAAATAAATACATCTTCAGAAACTTTTTTTCCCCAAGTAAGCAAGTTCTTGGGAAAAAGTGCAAAATACCAAATATCTCTATGTATTAATAGAGATATTAAATACTACGTCCAAGGCTATAACACCCCTTTCACATTATGGTTTCTTTTATCTATAAATAACATTAATAATTTAGCTCTAAAATAGAATCAGTCTGTAAAAAGAATATATAGAAAGTTCAATATTTTTTAAATATAAGAACATGCTCTTTTATTCAAAACTATATACCTAAATAGTTATCTCAATATACATATAATCCGTAGGAAGAATAAAACATATTTTAAAGTGAGAAAGAGAAGTAGAAAAACACCTGATCTGCGATCTCTGAACATTCTTAGCACATTTTGTTTCTCAGCAAACAAATGTTCCTTTTCAGTCTAGGGATAAAGAGTCAACATGGGTGACTTATGCACTCTCTGACGTTGCCCCTCACAGCAGAACTAAAGGGGGCAGGGTGGAGCACCCCCAACAGTGCCACTGGGCACGGTGGTGGTCAGCGGAATGGGTGCCTGAGTCACTGGGCTCAGCTGCTTTCAGGCTGGGAGACTCTGGACAAGTCATTTTACCTCCACAAACCTCATTTTACTCATTTTCAATTGAGTGCTTATCTTATGGGGGTTGTAGCAATTAAGTGTAAAGAATTTAACACTTGCGTACAGTAAGAATTCAAAGTTGGCTGTCTGTTACCAGAAAAAAGTGGAAAGGGCAGTGAGGACATGCAATTTGATCTATTTGCCTGTGGGCATAGGTGGAAGTCAGTCGTAATTCCAGCGACTTTGAAAAGGATAGTCTTTTACAGTCTATACGCATTTTATCACTTCTCTGACCACAGTGAAGGACAGTGGAAGCCTGCTCTGGACCATGCTGTATTCATGTGGGCAGAAACTAGAAACATTTGTAATTTATGAAATTGCTTTTAAAAGAAATATTTGTGTGTATGTACTAAGCAATCTAAATTTGGCAATTTCATGATACAGAACAGTGATAGGTAACCATTTAGTCAAACTTGTTCTCAAAAAAAAAAAAGCAAGGTGAAATAAAATTAAAGTTGAAAACATTCCCCACTAACCTTCTCTACTTTTTGCCCAAGCACATTAGAGAGGTTATGAAAGAGATGGCAGATATTTGTCTTGAAGAAAGGTTAGCAGTAGCAGGTATCAAGAGCATGCTATGGGCCAGGCCTATAGCTCATTCTCATCCTTACTTTATAAGAGATAGAACTCAGCCAGTCGAAGTAACTTCCCAAGAATGCACAACTGTGTGTGTTTGAGATGGAATTCAAACCCAAGCAATCGGAGTTCAAAGTTCCTTTATTCATTCCTGGAAACAATGGTTACTGGCACACTGTCCCAGGCCCCGGGAGCGGGGCGCTTGGCCGAGAATGGACCGTGGGTTAAAAGCCCATGTTCTTCACCGCTATACACGGATAATCCACTGAGATGGGTTTGAACATTTATAATTATATTTCCTTACATAACTGAAATTAGTCTAAGCTGGCTACTGTAGACTAATAGCATTTGTATGTTTGGGAAGAACTTCCCTGAAGTAAAAACCCTGCTGCTAGAAGGTGTGGGAGTGGCAGGCTGAGAGATCCATCAAGGGATACCGGGTGGTTCCTATTCACTCATGTCCCTCTTCCTGGTAACTTCATGTCTCACTTAGCAGGCTGCACAACCGCCTCGGACACCAAGTCCCTGCGGCTTAGGGTGTCGCTGTTCCTGGGCAACACGTGTGACCCCCCCAGCACTCCAGCTAAGTCACGGTCCCTGTAGACTGTGACTGACACCTGCTCCTCAGACACACATAGAAGTGCACTCGGGCCAGCCTCTGCTCAAAAGAAACCTTGCCTGGTAGAAGAGAGAACAATAAGCAGATATTAAAGCCACACCAGACTACACAAACTTGGCACCATCAGCGGGCCAAATAACTGGAGACGAGATGTTCTGGGAGGAGGACGAGGTCCTGATGGGGTGCTGTGTGGAAGTCACCCAGGATGGGAAAGTTCATGCTTTCGGTGGAATAGATTAACAGTCTGCGAACTCTCTAGGTGAGTGTCAGAAGGTATGTAACTCTGCCTTTAACTGTGTTCAGTTAATCCCACACGAAGGGCCCTGTCACTGCAAATTTTTTTTTTTTGAAATGACAATTACGAGTTTTTCTCCACCTTTCAATTTCAATTTTAATGAGGGCCCTGAATGGACAGAAAACAGAGACACTTTTGTGAAGTTGTCTTAGAACAGACATTAGATATGCTTTATATCCTTCCTGTTTGTTTGTCTGAGAAATATATTCTAAGGACAAAAGACAAACGAAAGAAGCAGCAAGCCCAACATCCTCATGATTCCAGGTTTTCTGTTTTGGGATGTAATGAAAATATTTACTGGAGTAACGCAAATATTTACTCACGCCAGGGAACTGAAGGCAGCCTTTAGTGGCCAGGAAAATAAACTCTGCTCTTGGATTTCCATGGGGTACATCCAACCTCACATATCCAATGTGTGTTTGTGTTGCCCATGGTTGAAATAAAATGTGGCAAATGTGATTGTGTATAGGCAGGTATGGTGCGGAAAAGGAGGGCTTGGGGTCTACGGCTCTGACATGCAGCGGGTAGGGGGAAGGACGTCTGAATTTACCTGACGGTTGGGCCGTCTTGCCTCCCGGCTAGTTGTGAGCACTGTGGCGGTACGGAGGCAGCAGGCTGCTGACAATCTACAAGAAACTGATAAATTAGACATGTATACAAAGAGACGACAGAGCATTGTGTTAGTAACTAAAGCAGTTGCCTGAGAGATTTAGTGAGGAATGTGTATTCACACAGAAATGTCTTGATTAAGCTTTTCCCCCCAAAATCATGCCAATGGAAAACTTTTTTCTTAAATATCTTCTTAAAAAATTAGTGACAAAATTAGTAGTGAGATTTCTCAAGTATATTAGGACATATGTGGCCATTCCTATCTGGTATTTGGGTACATCTAAAAATAAAAGATATATCTGAACTTGAACATGATGGTAGTTACTTGCTTAGGTCTTAGATCTGCTATTTCAAAATGGAATGTATTCAGATAACTGACTTTATTGTCAGGACACATGGGTGTATTATCAATCCCGTAGGTACATTGAGAAAGGCATGCAATATAATCTTTTCCATGATTAATAGAAGGACATCAGAGAAGAAAATCATCTTTACAGTTTTCTGGAAATAGATTTTACTTAAGAAATTTTTAGTAGAAAACTTAGAATGTTTATTATATAGTAAACTGTTAGTAACTTCGACTAATGGAGAGAAGTTAACCTGAATGGGAAATCTACTTTTGTTCTATTTTTGCTATTTTAAAGTCATATAATACACGTATGTAACTCACACTAGGTTAAAAAAGGGCTAGCTAGTAAAAGTCCATGCTGTAGCTAATTAGTTTTGTTAATCATCTACTCCAAGAAAGACCACCTGCTTGGTGTTTTAAAATTATCAAAGAACTGTCTATTTAGTGGTCCCAAGCTGACCATACTAGAATCACCAGGAAGCTGGTTTTAACTACGTAGATTATATTTCTGCAAAAAGATTTGGCAAAAAAGTTAAAATTAGAGTAAGACTTTAAAAATTCAATTATTCTACCTGCTAACTGCTTAGACTATATATTTGCCTAGTGTATCACTCTCCGTATGTTATGCAGGTAATATTTAAGCCAAATGATCACAAACTCTGGATTTAGAGCCTTGAATTAATGATGCTGCATGAAAATCTATATTTTAGTTTGTGTCTAAGTATCACTTATTCCCTATTTTAACAAAACACGACTGTGTAACTCCAGAATACCAAAATCCATGAAAATGGCTGATGCTTGTGTGTAACATATTGAAAACATACTAAAGTTGTCTGTGATGCAAAGCAGAACACAATATAAGGCAGGCTTGGTTGAAGTTCATTCAAGAGAACATCATTATTGAAAGGACCCTTTATAAAGTGGTCTTTGTTGGAGAGTAATTTATTAATGATTGCTTATTGATAGGAACAAGATCTGATTCTCATGTAGTATCTGATATTCAGATTACACACTCAGTAAAAGTCCTTCAAAGGTAACAAAGATTTCTGTTTTCTCAGCTGTGGTTTTTTTTTTTTAAACTGTTTTCCCATTTTGCAGCTTGATTAGCTCAATGATTCCCTTTTGTAGAAACTCAGAGTCCTAAAAGATGATTCCTTTATGCTACTTTAATTTTTTCTAATGGCTTCTCTATCTGAGTGATAATTTAGGAACATTTTGGACTAAGTTAGATAAGGTTTCTGATCCGGCCAGGTGTGTGCTGCCCTCCTATGGTGTATTTGGGTAAATGCAATGGGTGCAAATGAACATGAACCTTTAAAAAAATACACAGGAATCTGGCCTTATATCTTATATTGCAGGGGGCGTGTAAATAAAGCTATTCTATAGCAAAGTTTTGGCCTCTGTAAAATGGAAAACCCTAGAATTAGACTAGTTTAAATATTTTTTGATATCTCACTTGTATTAGAAATAGGTTCTTTGCCAATGCAGTTGCAGATTATTCATTTGAAATATGCTTCGTGTTGAAATTTAGACAGAAGGTGAGCAGGACTACCATGTATAAATACCTTACAAGTTGTTCAATATGAGGTAGATATTCCTTAAATTTGTGAATATCAATTTTTTCCTTCTTTAGCAGTAACATGTCTGATTGTTATTATCCTTTGCATTTATTATGTATAAGTACTTAGCCAAGTGTTATCCTTCAAGAATAAAAAGTAAAGTCCATAAATAAGATGGTGATAGATGAAAAAAAGAAATGTTTAAAAATAGCTGTATTGCTCCAACTCAATTATCTTATAAATTCTTCTTGGGTCCGTGGCCCCCCTCCCCCAGTCACACGCATGTCTAACCCAGCTGAGCGGCTGATGCACATTAGCATGTGCTTCGTAAAATGAAAGGGGTGGGTCAGGAGATGAGGAAATCCCCGCCAGCACTGAGATGCGGAGGGTTTCAAACGGTCTCACCTGCTCCGTCTAGGCGCTGGTAGACTCACTCCTGAAGGAACTAGGCCTCATCTCGTTGCTTTGATGCTTTTTTTGCATCGAAGATGAAAGCTATGTATCGTAAGGAGAAGCCACTACAGAAGCCCAGCAGTCACTGTTGTTATGTGGGCCACCAAAATTCATCCCAACCATTCGACAGTCGAGTTACTAAACTCCTATTACATATATAATACTGTGTTTGGAGGTGGGGATAAAAGGAAAACAGACAATATGGTCCCTGGTCAACTGAGAAAAGCAAGCACATTCAAAAAGAAATTATAATAAAGTATCATGACGATGATGATGGTGGTGGTGATGGTGATGATGATGATGATGATGATGATGATAGCAGTTGCCTGGCACTGTGCAGGCACTGAACATGCATGCTCTCCTTTAACCCTGTTTTACTTTCCCAATTTATGGATGAGCAAAGAGGGACTTGGGTTAAGTAACTTGCCAAAGTCCACTAAGAGGTGAAGCTGAGATTTCAATCTCCGATGGCATCACCCAAGGGCCGAATTAAATTTACAGACACATCCCTGCAGGGATGGTGTCCTTGGTGCCCAGACACTCAGAGGGAGGCTGAGCAGCAGCTCCTGGTGGCAAATAGTCTCCTATAGAATGGGTTGCACCCAACCCCTGGTTTCTTGACTTGAGAAGTGATGCATTCCTACCATTTCATGAGATTTTATTTAACACATCTCCTTCCCTCATGACCATAAACTCCTCCGAGTCCTACACACTTCCCCCTGAAAACTCTTTCTGTCCCCTGACTTTTCCTGAGCCCAAGTTCTTATATGACATGATTGCAACTTCCCTCAGTCTCCTCCTTGCTCCCTAACCATATCCCAGTTTGTGCGCAATCTTCTAAAAATGAGGTGTTCAGAAGAAAATCAGGTGTGGATAAGATGTGAGTAGTGGCGTGGAGTGGCAGAGTCTTGCCTCACTGGGGACATCCTGATTCCTTGAAAAGGGCAGAAGCCTGCATGGCGTTTCTTTGGCAGCCACATCACATTGCTCTTTCCCACGAACTTGCTTGTTTGCAGAGGGTGTTCTCAAGTCATGCTCCCTCTGCCCTGTACTTATGGTATGTGGGATGCCAATGGAAGATTTCATATACTGTAGCTTTGTGCTCATCTCTAATAAGAGTTTCACCTTCCTTACTAGAAACATTCTCTAGGTCCAATTTTGTCATCTAGCTTCTAGCATATTAACTTCCTCTCCATTTTATTTCTCTTTCAATTCAGAAATTGTGAAAACTATGATTTTGATGTCTTTATCTTTAAAGACTAGCAACTAATAAGACTGGGCTAAGTACACACAACATTTCATAAACATCAACCTATGAATTTAGATCCTTTGAACATGTCCATTCAACCAGTTGTAAATCCAAACAATCATATTAGCATCTAAAATTTCCCTAGTTGTCTAAGAAAAATTATAGAATACCTGGTTAGTTGTTTGCCAAAATTCAATTATACTATATTACTACTTTCCCTGGTCTTATGAGCTAGAGAATGAGGCATAAGTCATTCTTGATGAATTCATGCTGGTTTTTAGTAATTCCTACTTTATATTGAGCATATGAAACACATTGATTTCTAGAAGTCTGCTAAGCATCAGCCTCAAAGTTGTAGGTCTGTAGGCTAGAAAAACTACTGTCTTTTATGTTGTATAAAAATTACATTTCTTCTTCTGACACACCTAGGAATTCACCTTCTCACTTCTGTACTCTACTTCTCCCTGGGACCTCTTCTCCTGTCTTTCGTAAGACCGTGATTGTTTACATCTTTTCTCAACAAAAACAGTGAGAAGGAAAGTGATACATGCTTTTCTATTTCTTTTTCTTTCTCATTTTGAAAACAGTAACTCATAAACTCAAATATTGACAGGAAAAATGAAAATTCATGATACAAAGAGCAAACGTGCCTTATCATGATAGTTAATATCTTTGATAACTTGGTGTACTGTGTCCAAGACTGTTAAAGATAAGTTTAATAATCAAATCTACCCACTTGAACAACTGTTATTATAGAATATGACATCACTATTATTTTCAAATAGATATCATTTTGGAACAAAAATCTTACTACTTGGAGTAAACAGTCACTATTCCTTAAGGACCTTTCAATAAGGACAGATAACAGCAGAAAAGCAAGAATGTTTAATTATGAAAGCTATTACATTAAGAACTGACAGAGACAGTTACGGATTGTTCTAAGACAACTCCATAGTTAATGATCACAGCATACAGACAGTCTCCTTTATGTTCATAGGATATCCTTCTTTCCTCTTTCTGCAAACCTGGCCTTATTCTTCCAAACTATTCCTCAATTGAAATTTTGGCAAATACAGAAAAGGAAGAGCATGCAGGAGCAATGTGGAAGGAAGAGGAAAGGATGAAAAATAATGGTAGCATGTACTATTTCTTAAGTTCTGTATATATGCAAACACTAGGCTAAGCACTTTGCATGCAACAGCTCTTTCATCCTTATATAAACTCAAAGAAATGGGTTTTGTTTTTATTTTATAAATGAGAAACTGAGGCTTAGGGAGGTTAATGAATTTATGATTTTCACAGTGAACAAAAGATTTTTAGTGCTCAGAATACTCAACTGAATTTGGTTGTTAAAATGTCCATTTTACAGATTAGAGCACTGAGGATCAGAAGAGTTAAGTGATTTTC